CCGCAGGAACCCCCTTCTAAACTCAACCAGAGTTTCCACCTGCATCTCCAATCCCGGGATCTTTTCTTCCATCAGCTCTATCAGGCGGCACTTCATGCAGACGAAACTCTTTTTAGGTACCCTCTCTAGGATCATGATCACAGACTGGTCATTGTTCTGTTCGTTACTCAACTCTGAAAAAATAAAGGTCTCCATGACCGCAACCTAGAAGCCAGAATTGTTGACATGACAGAGAAACAGCTAGTCTAAATACCCTCCCAAATTTCACTCAGTTTGCTGCTATAACATTCAGAAGACTATTTGTGAAAGATTCTAATGATTAGAAACATTAATTTCTCACCACTTCTTTATTCTCCCACCATAAGATACAAAGTAGTTCCATAAAACGATTTCTGAGATGCATCTGAGAAATATATTGAACAGCCCCATCATAATTCTGAAACATGGCTGGCTCACCCACTTTCTGTGGTGGTCACAAAACAATCCTGTAGAAGCAGAAGTTCTCCTTCCCCAGAATGAGGAAAGGTCAAGAACTGAGAAGCAGAAAGCAGAAAACAAGCTATAAGAAAAGAATGGTTCTCTGCACAGTCAACTAAGAATGACAATTTTTTAGTTTTGTTTATCAGAGGTGGGGGTGGAGCCGCTGCTACAAACAAAATCGAGCTCATTAATATAGCAAAGAAAAAACCTGAAACGACGGGAAATGTTTCTTATTGTTCATCCTTGTTAAGCCCCTCTTTCTTTCACCAGCTTATTCAGTAACACACCCGCTCAGTATCGTCAATTCTGGTATATGGTAATTGGAATAGAAAGATAGCCACAACTTAAGTGGAAAAGATCCTGTCATTGCTTTATCATAGAGTCATAGAATATCAGGGTTGGAAGGGACCTCAGGAGGTCTAGTCCAACCACCTGCTCAAAGCAGGACCGATCCCCAATTAAATCATCCCAGCCAGGGATTTGTCAAGCCTGACCTTAAAAACTTCTAAGGAAGGAGATTCCACAACCTCCCTAGGTAATGCATTCCAGTGTTTTACCACCCTCCTAGGGAAAAAGTTTTTCCTAATATCCAACCTAAATCTCCCCCACTGCAACTTGAGACCATTATTCCTTGTCCTGTCATCCGCTACCACTGAGAATAGTCTAGATCCATCCTCTTTGGAACCCCCTTTCAGGTAGCTGAAAGCAGCTATCAAATCCCCCCTCATTCTTCTCTTCCGTAGACTAAACAATCCCAGTTCCCTCAGCTTCTCCTCATAAGTCACATGTTCCAGACCCCTAATCATTTTTGTTGCCCTTCGCTGGACTCTCTCCAATTTATCCACATCCTTCTTGTAGTGTGGGGCCCAAAACTGGACACAGTACTCCAGATGAGACCTCACCAATGTCGAATAGAGGGGAACGATCACATCCCTCGATCTGCTGGCAATGCCCCTACTTATACATCCCAAAATGCCATTGGCCTTCTTGGCTACAAGGGCACACTGTTGACTCATATCCAGCTTCTCGTCCACTGTAACCCCTAGGTCCTTCTCTGCAGAACTGCTGCCTAGCCATTCGGTCCCTAGTCTGTAGCGGTGCATTGGATTCTTCCGTCCTAAGTACAGGACTCTGCACTTGTCCTTGTTGAACCTCATCAGATTTCTTTTGGCCCAATCCTCCAATTTGTCTAGGTCCCTCTGTATCCTATCCCTACCCTCCAGCGTATCTACCACTCCTCCCAGTTTAGTGTCGTCTACAAACTTGCTGAGGGTGCAATCCACACCATCCTCCAGATCATTTATGAAGATATTGAACCCGGCCCCAGGACCGACCCTTGGGGCACTCCGCTTGATACTGGCTGCCAACTAGACATGGAGCCATTGATCACTACCCGTTGAGCCCGACAATCTAGCCAACTCTCTATCCACCTTATAGTCCATTCATCCAGCCCATACTTCTTTAACTTGCTGACAAGAATACCGTGAGAGACAGTGTCAAAAGCTTTGCTAAAGTCAAGGAACAACATGTCCACTGCTTTCCCTTCATCCACAGAATCAGTTATCTTTAGTTAGCTTTAGTTGGCCAACACAAGATTATTATCCAATGCACATTAACTGCCATGTTACAGATATTGCAATTACGTGCAATATCTTTAGGGACCATAATGGTTTATGTATGATTGTGTCCTACTCCATAGAGGAGGGTTACCACCGCTCCTACAAGACCTAAAAACAGTGAGGGGTGATTAAAACAAGTCACAGACTAAACAACTCTAGAGAGGTACCACACCCTGGGGTGGTCTGCATATACTAGTTCAGAGTTTAACAGACAAGGAAGGGCTTTTGGTATAAAATGGTTATCTTGAACTGACAGTGCCCACTTTCTGATTCACCAAACAGACAAGATCTTCTGTCCAAAGGGACCCCAACCCTTGCTGAAGTATTGAAAAGACTTTGGACTACTAGGGCCCCATAAGACTGATGGGTGACTCCTAGTATGTTTAGTGTATGTTTAAATCTATTTATTGTTTGTTTATTTAACATGTATTCTCTGTAATGCTTGTACCTTACGAATAAATGTGCTTACTTAGAAAGAGCTATGTGGCAACTTGTAATTGCTGGCAATACACTTTTCATAGCCCCCAGAGCAAAAGCAAAGCACAGGTGCTGGCCTTTAAACAGACTGGCATGCTGATGATATCACAGTGTAAGGGGGCCGTGCAGCCTTAAAACACCGTGGTCAGACTGGAGTGGGACAAGGGCCCCTGCTCAGAGACAGGTGATGGCTAGAGGTCTGAGACCTGACTGGTAACTGCTGGACGGAACCACAGGGGGGAGGGATGGTGGGAAATTCAGGTATAGTTATTACCCAAAGCACACTAACCACCGGTATTCTGGAAACAGAGTTCTTCTTGGCAACACAAAAAGCTAATCTTATTGCAGTGCGCTGCATTGGCAGTCAGGAAATTAACTTCTCTGATGGGTACAGGAGGAATCTTTTTATTTTAATTGTTCCACCTACTATGGGCAAATTTTTTTCTCTTCCAGGGTACAGCACTGGGAAGCTGCTACTGCTAGCAGAGAGTTTCAATACAACTCCCTCTCTGTCTCTCCCCAAAAATGTGCCAGCTGCTTAGTAAGAATTAGGGGTCTCTTGCCAATTAGAAAAGGAGTACTTGTGGCACCTTAGAGACTAACACATTTATTTGAGCATAAGCTTTCATGAGCTACAGCTCACTTCATCATGGATAAATGAAGTGAGCTGTAGTTCACGAAAGCTTATGCTCAAATAAATTGGTTAGTCTCTAAGGTGCCACAAGTACTCCTTTTCTTTTTGCAAATACAGACTAACACGGCTGTTACTCTGAAATCTTGCCAATTAGATTTTCAACAATCATCAGCCAGCTACGTGTCACACCTAACGAATCATTCCATGAGCATCCACGTGAGTGTTTAGTAAAGGTAAGATCTATGAATAATAGAGGACAACACATTTTATTTACACTGGACACACCACAATTGTGACTGTTCAGGTTTTCCATTTATTCTTATCAAAGCTATACTTCTGCTGAACTCAAAAGCTAACAAGTCGTCTACCACAAGCCACTTTTCTGCATCACTGACAGGACATGCTATATATTGAAATAAAATGTCTTTCAGAAGAGTAGAGACACAAGGTGGGCAAGAGAATATCTTTTATTGGACCAACTTCTGTTGGTGAGAGAGACAAGTTTTGAGCTTACACAGAGCTCTTCTTCAGGTCTGGGAAACATCAGTGACAGAGCTAAATATAAGGCAGAACAGAGTGTTTAGCATAAGTAGTTAATATATATTTCAAGGAACCATTCAAGGTGAAGTGGTCTGTTAACACTTCTCCAGTCATAGGGTGGAAGGAAAAAAAGGCTGGGGGTTGGGATTTAAGTGGGTTATAGATTGGTGTAATAAACCATAAATCCAGCCCATGGCTTTAAGTATCTAGCAAAGTTAAGGCATTTAAGCTCTCAGGCTTGTCTTTTGACTTTACCCTGGGACCAACACATCTACAACAACACTATATACTTTCAGAAGACTAGTTCAATGTTAACTATAGTACACTCAGGCCAGGTCTACACTACAGACCCATATAGGTATAACTACATCACTCAGGGGTGTGGATTTTTTATACTAACCTAACCCCCAGCGTAGACACTGCTGTGTCGACAGGAGAGCTTCTCCCATTTACATAGCTACAGCCTGTCGGGGAGGAGGATTAACTACACCGATGGAAGAAGTTCTCCCATCGGCTTAGGAGCATCTTCTCTAAAGCGCTACAGCAATGCAGCTTCACCAGTGCCACTGTAGCTCTGTATGTAAACACAGGCCCTCAGTTCACCCTTTTTAATAATAAATACATTTAAGCAAAGACAACCCTTACCTGCTAATAGCAATGGTGCAGAGTGAGGGCAGCTGGCTTCGGCAGTGTTACTGAGCATGCTCAGTACAAGCCAAGCAGCAAATTTGGGAGGGCACGAGACCCCGCATATCCCGCCATGCAATACCTCTGCATGCAAGTATTACAAAAATTTATAGTTCTAAATGTTTTGCAGCACACATTTTATTTAATTAAAGGAACGCGTTGATGGTCATTTTTTAAAAAATGGGGTGGAGGAAGATGATTAGTCATTCATATCACTTTAAAAAAATTAATTATTTAAGAAAACACTGTAAAATCTTTCTTAGAAAAATAATATGGAAACTCCTGGATTACGCAGTAACGGGAGGGTTGTCTCCCCCCAGTGAGTGCACTATTGAACATTTACAAATCCCCAAAACAGCTATTAGAAAATTACCACATTACCAATCACAAATCTATTCCAGCTGGATGAGTGCAGATCATCATTAAACTCAAACTCACATTTCTCCTCTGCTCTGCACTAGGGAGGATTTACTTTTTGATTGAAAATAGGTATCCTTTAAAACCACAGACTTTTCACTGATAAACATTACTGGGCTTCTTTGGAAAAAAAGATTGCAACTTACTTAATTGAGTTTCTGAAGTGGTCTTCAGCTGGGCTTTTTACCGTGCAACTGTTAAGAAGCCACAAGTCTGCTTCTGCGGCATTGTCTGGAAGACAGAAGAGACAGAAGGGTGCATTAAAGAATTGCAGCTCAAACTTGGAACTATATCACACTAAAGAGATTGGATTTAACCTTTTGTTAAGAAGTGGACTGTTCTCATAAGGTTTCAATAATCAAGCCATAAATATAGTTTTGGAAATTTCATGAATATTGCTTACTCTTGCAGTCATGAACTACTGTACTATACAATATAAAAAATAAGAAGTCCCTGCCCCAAGGAGCTTACAAATCCAAATTAAAGACAAAACACACAACGTAGGTATAAACAGAAAGACAGTGGGAGCGCAAGGAAATAATGAGACAACATTGGCTACTATGATAGGCAGTGGTTTCAATACACCATCTGTCTAACCACTGTCAATTTTTTGGTAGGACTCACAGCAGAAGAGAGTTTAAAAGGAGGGAGTTGAAGGCAGACAATGAGGTGGTTTTACAGAAGTTTTTTTAGAAGCACTTCCCATGCATGAGGGCAGCACAAGAGAAATCAGGAAGGTGCTTGTTTGAAAATGTAAACAAGTGGCTCATGGAGACTCGCATCACTGGCATGGAGGCAAGAGTTGTCATCTCAATTTTATTGTGTAACATTGCTATAAAGTAAACAACCTAGGCTTAAGCAAGCATAAATATTTACAGTAGAGAGAAAATTCAGAGTGAGTTATTTAGGAAAAACTCCACTGATTATTAGAATTGGCTACATTTTAATTATTTTATCATTAACTTCCAGCAAATTTTAGACTAAAGGTTTAAGAGCACACCCTTAGTTATGCCTATAGTTTTCAGCCCAGAGCTAAATTTCTTGGTACATTTCTTTACAGCCTTGTGATAGCTAAATACATCAATTGTGTTGGATCATGAAGTTATCCTCCGAGGCACTCTAACCTGTGGCATGAACACAGTATTTTTCCTCTGCAATTAAAATAAAGATTTTAAACAAACTTTAATTAAGGAGAATTAGCTTGTCATCTAATACAAAATTTAGCCTTCCAAAACAAATGCAGGAAATAAAAAATACTGTGCATTTCTGGGAAACTGGTTTCCAGGTTCTACCCAGTGAATGTTTTCTCTCCGCCTGGTTTTCAACTGATTGGCAAATACCACAGAATCTAAATGATATGAGGTCACTAGGAGAGTAACACTTCATTTTCTAAAAGAAACTCCTTGAGCAAGCCCAAGGGAGCATCAGAAAAGCCATTTCACATTCCCAATGCTCTGGCACTAATCAGGACTGTTTAGTGTTGTATCAGTGAGGCACAGAAAGCTTGTGTCACACTTTGGTACTAGCTTTCAGCAAATCTTGAGCCAAACTGAAGTACTGTAAAAGGATTTAAAGCAATACAAGTAATGAATGGAGCAAAATTGTTTTAAGTCAAAGTGTAGTTTTTAGATTACCTAATTTAAGTGACAGCTCACAAAAGCAAAAAAAAAAAAAAAAAAAGGCAAAAAATTAAAGCCTGCAATGATTTTAAAATGTGTCTATATATGTATATCTGTATTTACCTGTCCGTATATAAAAAGTTTCCTTCCCCTAGCTACACTTAATACAATCTCAAACTCTAAAAATATGTAGGCATCTGCAATCTTGCCTTTGCCTCTACAGAGAATTATTCCACTTTTCAGTTAACTGTCACTCATCCAACCTCAGGAAGTAGCCAAAATGCAAATAATATGTAAAATAGGAACTGTTTTTTATTTGTGTAAAATGAGTGAAAACATTCAGGAGAGGTTTTTGTTTTAATCAGTGTTATTAATAGAGGCTCCATAGTTAAGTTGTTCTGGGATGTTAAAATCCTTTTCAGGTTCAAATACAATGTATTCCAAGAAATCAAACAAATGGCCACAGGATAACCCATTCAAGCTCATCTCTAAAGGGACTGCAACAAGGGTTGGGGGTTTTGTTTGTTTGAAATCTGTGAAGGCTTAATCAAATGCCCCAGCAGCAAGCATTTACCCTGTCAATTAACAGACTGGAAACAGCACTAGGCTGAAATGCAGTCTATTACTGAAGTAAAAACATATTGGGACACCCTAACGGACCTTTCTTCAAACTCAGAATGCTTCTGGTTTACATAATATTTACATTTAGACTTGTTCTGTGAGCAACAGTTCAGTGCTCATGAGCATGCTATCCTTGCCTTAAATGTAAATATCAGTACATTTGCAATTGTATTAAGGCCAGTAACTTGAACAAACAAAAATAAAAAACAAACAAACAAAAAAAGGAGGAGGAAAAGGAGGACTGGCTTTTGAAAGCAAGGAAAAGATGAACAAAAACTCCTGGCTCTCATCAACTGAAGAGAGCATCTGAAAAACACAAAATAGCTTTTGAATACTATTCCACAGCAATTTATATTTTTCTATTTAGAAGTCGCCACAAACTTCAAGTACATTTTCAGGTCATCAGCTACAATGGCCAATAAACAGTGTTTTGTTATTTAAAAATGCTTTGCCCAAATGTGTTAAAAAATTAATTCAACGTTTTTATGCAATAAAACATTGCCACAACTCTGTTTCAAAGTACTTTAAATGTGCTTACGTCTAATAGTACAAACTATGAATATAACTTATCTCCAAATGCATAACACTTTTCTCTGAACATGAGAACTATTGGGTATTATATAACAAGAGGTTGACAGAATAAATATCATGCACTTGGGGTACAAATGCACTTGGGAGACAACTGACACACACTGTCACAAGAGAACTATTATATAACCATATTTCATGGCAAAAAAAACCCTGAGAATTCTTTATTCAGAGGAAGGATAGTCCAGTGGTTAGAGCATTTGCCTGGGACTTGGGAGATCAGGGTTCAAATCCCTTCTCAATCACAGAATTCCTGTATGACTGAGCAAGTGATTTAGTCTCTCTGTGCCTCAGATCCCCATCTATAAAATGGGGGATAATAATCCCTGCCCCACAGGGGTGTTGTGAGGATAAATACATTAAAAATCATGAGGCACACATAAGTCCCTAAGACAGACATTTGGACTCTGGGACTGTTATAACTTCCTAGTTGGGGTTTACAACTAACTATACAGTGAAATATTGCAGTTTGTATTTTGGAAATGTGTTGGTTTGATTTGTATATTTTAAAAAATATTCAGCTTAGTTCTTATGTAGGTTTCATATTCTACCAGTACATAATCAGTGGGTAGCTCTGTGAAGAGGCGGCCAACTAATTTAGGGAAGTAAAGTTTTTGGCCTCTCCTCTCCCTACAATGCTATTTTATCTATCTTTTCTTACCCTCACTTATTTCTCGTTAATGCTCATGTTATGCAATGTGGCTACGTTATATGTACATACTAAACAAAGAGTGGAAGCCATTTCTCATCAAAACAACAACCTAGTTTAGAAATACTTTTGCCCTTGTATTTTCCCCTCATCCCTCCATCGTATTGCGCATACATATTGAAGAAATTCATTGTGTGCACACCTGTGTCAAGTTACTGAATAGCTCTTGAAATTTACCTGAAAAAATAAACTTTCAGAAATTATATTTATAAATAATATCTTCCTAGCTGGCAACTAGCCTGTAGGCTCACAGGGGAAGGGCCATCAATACAACTAGGATGACTACACTGGATCCCAGGACAGAGGGTGTTCCTGTAACAGTGGAAGCATACATTAGGCCTTCAAGGAATGTAGCCACTGTAGGGTGTGAAAATATAATATGACCCTATATAGGTGGATGGTGTGCTGACAGAGCTGCTTCGGTGAACTCTAATAGAGCTTATAGAAAGCACTGTGCCTTTTAATGACAAGATACTCCAAAATATGAGAGAAACTAAGAGAGAAAGGTTCCAGACTCTATGGGAGAGAGGTTACATTGTTTCGCCTAAACAGAAAATCTTTTCCACTTGGCTGCACCAGCTGTTCTGGTAGAATCCTTTCTACTTTGTATCAGAATGTTCCACATATCTATTGAACAAGTTCTATGTTAACTAGCCAGAATCCAGGCTCTGAGATAGCAACAGTCTGGATGGAGACTTTACCTTTTGTGCTAGGAAACTATGTTGGGACTCAGAGGTAATGTTATTGGAGGTTGAATCAAGAGTTTCATGGAGCTTCGGGTACCAGTAATGCCTAGGCCCAGCTGGTGCTATACAAATAATTTCTGCAGACTCTTATCTGATCCCCCTCAATGGTATCTGAGGGTTCACAGTGTAAGCATACAGCCACGCAGGAGATTAAGGGATAAAGAATGTGTCTAAGAACCAGGGCTCCAACACTCTGTGGAGCAAAGGGAGAGACACTTTCTTTTCTTCTCAATGGCAAGTCTATGTATGGGTGATCCTACTTGTGAAATACATTTGGAATGATAAGCATAGTTACATGAGTTATCTGCTACAGTGTTTTGCAGACCCAGACATGTAGAACTGAGTATAATTTGGTGATGGATGGACCAATTCCACAGTTGGACAGCTTCCTGGCAGAAAGGGAAGACCAGGATCTTCCTTGCCTGTTCACAAAAAACATCACACTAGTGTTGTCTGTACTATCTAAATTGTTCTGCCCTCAATCACAGGGCAAAAAAAAAAAAAAAGTAACACAAGCCAAACGAATCACCTGCATTCTAGGACACTGCTATGAAGGTGGACAAGCCCTGATTGTGTTGTTGGTCCAGATATGTTCCCCATCTGAGGCTGGACACATCTGTTCTAATGTTTTCATGGGTAGAGGCAGAGAAAATGGAGAAGCCTTGCACACCTGATTGGGATTCTTCCACAAATGTAATGGCAATAGGAATTCTAGAGGAATTTGGGCTGTCATGTCTATGTGGTGCTTGCTTGGGCAGTAGATGGGCTTCAACCACTTTGCATACAACAAAGGGGAAGTTTGTCATGTTGAGTTATGAATGTGTAAGAGGTCATGTGGCCTACCGGTCTCGGATTGTGTGATTTTTCTTACACTACCTCCACTGGCATTTCACTACCTCATCTGCCATCCTCAGATGAAAGTCCTGAAAGGCCTTATAACAGCTGGAA